GACATGAAATTAAACTTGCAAGGATGGCAAAAGACTCACGAGTTATATCGGAAAAATGTAGGACCTTCATGTAGCACGTGGCATCAGGCGGCAACCATGTACCTGCCATCAACGTCGTACACAGGTGAGTGCATGAAATTGAAGTTGTGGACAGTGAGTTAGGAGAAAGGAACATATCTGACAGCTTCAGTTGCCATGCCTGGACAGCTTCAGTTGCCATGGCTGGACAAACTGCAATTGCCATGCCCGGACAACTGCAGTTGCCATTTATAATCAAAATGTGACTGCAATGTCTAAACAATTGTGGATGACAAGTGTGAACAAATCTGTGTGGCATGGTTGGACCACTACATGTGCCATGTTGAACAAACTACAGTTGCCATGCAATGACCAACTGCTACCATGATCGCAGGTTGTTACGGTGGAACCACATCGGCAAACGTCGCATGGCAAGCTTCACAGTTGAAGGAAAGTGCTATTGCAGATAGAGCACATCAAATTGGAATGACAGACCACACAAGATCGGCACATGTGACACAACAAGGTAAGAAAAACGTGAAAACAGAAAACATTACTCCATTTGCTTTTGTGGGGAATAGCATGTGAAGAAAAGTAGATTTGTAACGGTGGTGGTGGAAAAAACAAACAAAAAATGCTACCAAGTGGTCGTGTGCAAAGAGTCGTATATTGTCTTCGGGATTTGCCAATTGCTATAAGAGTGTGTGCAACATTCATGATTGTTCACACTTGCGTATTGAGCTCAAGCCTAGAATACAAGTTTTGATGCTAGAGTATACTAGTTGCCATGTGTTGGCAACAGTAGTTGCCATGTATGTTGGACTGTATCTGCCATTAATATATGCTGCAAGTTCTGATGTTGAAAGACGTTGGTTGCCATGTGTTGGCAACAGTAGTTGCCATGTGTGTTGGACTATATCTTCCATTGCTATATGCTACAAGTTCTGATGCTAAAAGACGCTGGTTGCCATGTGTTGGCAATGGTAGTTGCCATGTGGTTGGACTGTAGCTGCCATTACTGGATAATTACAGTTGCCATGCATGGCCATATGCAGATTCACGGCTTGCTGTGTGAATGATGTCATGCAAAATCACATGCGATTGTTGTACTCCGTTATGATAAACATGACATTCAAGCAAAATCTTACGCTTGTACCTGATTTTTTATTGCAGGACCTTCAACTACAATTAGCAGTGGCGCGGGGACATCTACTGCGGGGAGCTCTGATCGCACAGAAGATGCGTTCCACCAGCCAGCCAACACTCATGCCACAAACAATGCCGAGTCAGTGTCGGAAATGGCAATCGTGCCAGCAATACCGACAAGCACACCTATGCACACCAGCACAAGCAACACTCAAGCAGATGAAATAGCCGCCGATGATGAAACCGATGACGAAGCACAAGGGGATGAAGATGGTAGGCAATCAGAAATCATGGTACCCTAGCCACCGTATCTTGGTAGAGATTTGATTCGTTTGAAGATGCAAAGGAATTCTACCAGACATATGCAAAGTTCCATGGGTTTGCGGTCAACAGCGAATACCATAGGAAAATTAAAAAAACTAACGAGTACAGCAGAGGTGAGATGAGGTGCTACAAGGCACGAAGAAACAAGAAGGGCAAAGGTGATACGCCTATCGTTCCGGAACGAAAGAGAGGTATCATTGTCAAGACGGAATGCCCTGTCCGGTGTAAGCTGAATGTAGATGGAGCACAGTGGGTGGTCACTAAATATTTTGACGAGCACAACCACGAGCTAATAAAGAAGTTTGACCTGGTAAAATTTCTGACCGCCCACAGAGGATTCACCCCCCTCGAGAAGAAATTCATAAAGCTGCTACATGATTGTAACATCGGTCCATCAAGAATGGTGCAGATACTCTCCCTCATCCATAGCAAAAAGGGGTCTCTGAGTAGCATGCCCTACCTACCAGCAGATGTCACAAACCTAAAGGCAAAGTACCATAGAGAAAGCAAGTTGGCTGACATAGAAGCCACGATAGCCTACTTCGATGAGAAAGCGAAAGAAGATCAAGATTTCTTCTACAGGATAAGATTGGACGATGAGGACCGTGTCAGGAACATGTATTGGGTGGATGGTGCTGCAAGAAGAGCCTACAAACATTTCCGAGACTGCATTTCATTCGACGTGACATATCTCACTAATATGTACAAGATGCCATGCGCTCCATTCATAGGAATAAATAACCACAATAAGTCATTGCAGTTTGGATGCGGGCTCGTTCGGAACGAAGACACAGATGGGTACACTTGGCTGTTCAAGACCTTCTTGGAGTGCATGGGTGGACTTGCTCCGATGAACATAATAACAGACCAGGATTTTAGCATGCGTGCAGGCATAGAGGAGGTCTTTCCGTTGGCAGTGCACAGGCACTACAGGTGGCACATTATAAAGAAGGCTGAGGAGACGCTAGGATCGTTCTTTGCTGACCGTCCAGAGCTGCACAAGGCATTCGAGCTGTGTGTGGACCACAGCTTGACGGTGGAGGAGTTTGAAAGGAGCTAGATGGGTATGATTGAAACATATCAAGTCCAAGACCACGAGACGCTTGCTAGCTTGTGGGATAAGCGAATGTACTGGGTGCCGGCCTACTTCATGCAGTGCTTCTTCTTGTTTCTGCACACTACACAGCGCAGTGAGGGGTTCAATGCTGTTTTAAAGTGGTACGTGAGTCCTGGCAACTCATTGCTGCAGTTTGCCAAGCAATACACCGCTTTGCAACAAAAAATACTAGGATTTGAGCTACAGCAGGAAGCAAACACTGCACTCAAGCAGCCAAAATTGCTAACGTATTTACCGATGGAGAGGCAGATGAGCAAGATATACACCAACATGATTTTTAACAAATAAGTCAGTCGTGCTACAATCTTATTTGCACAAGCATGAAGGTAGTAGGTGCCATGTAGAATGCAATGCGGTTGAAGTGCTTATTAAAAAATGATGATTTTGTTGAAAAGTATCCATTAGGTACAGAGTAACCATGATATGTAGTTTCCATGCTTAATGAACTACAGTTTGCCATGCTTAATGAACTACAGTTTGCCAAGTTTACTCAACTGCAGTTACCATGTTTGCTCAAATGCAGTTGCCATGTTTGATGAACTGCAGTTGCCATGTTTAATGAACTGCAGTTGCCATGTTTAATGAACTATAATTCCACTGGCCATGATGGCATGGAATGCAAATGCCAAAATGAAGTTGTTATGTAGTTGCCATGTTTAGATGAACTGCAGTTGTCAGGTTTAATTAACTGCAGTTACCATGTTTAATGAACTGTAGTTGCCATGTTTGAACGAATTGTAATTCCATTGGCCACAACAACAAAAGGTGCTACAAAAAATTTCACACAAGAGTTTAACAAAACCACACAAAACTTGCAGATTCCAGGAAGAAGTAAAGCGTGCCAGCATGTACACGGCTTTCCCGGTGGACGAACATACGTTCAAGGTGTTCTATCCTGGGCATGTCGGATTCAGAACCTGAAGACCCGGACAAGGGAAGGAACTACTTTGTGAAGGCATTGATAAGCGAAGGCGAATACTACTGCCAATGCTGCAAATTCGAACGGGACGGTATTGTGTGCTGTCACATTCTAAAAGTAATGGACATGAACGCGGTGACACGAATGCCCCGCCATTTCATAAGGCGGCGATGGACTTGGTACGCTGACGATGCATTGGCGCCGCAAACATCAAACGCAGTTTTGGCCGTGCATGACGAGAGACCAGAGTCAACCATGGAAGCCGTGAGGCACGTTGTGTTGACAAAGAACTATGTTGAACTAATTGATGAAGCGTGCAAGAGTGATGAGACAGCAAGGGTCGCAGAAAAACACAGGAAGTCCCTCAAACGAGAGCTTGATGAGATCAAGAAGAGGAAAGCTGAGGAAGCCTTACACAGGTTCCCCCGCACATCAAGTGTGCCTTCGTCCACGGGGCCATCATCTGAAAACTCGAAGGTAGGATCTGGAACAGCAAGCACACAAACACAGGTTAGGAACCCGCCCCATTCCATCACAAAAGGGCGTCCAAAAGAGATAAGATACAAATCGGGATTGGAGATTCAAGCAAAACACAAGAAACCAAAGAAAGGGACGGCAATCAGTAAGCAACATTGGAGCACTGTGACTTGGTCCATGGTGACATTTTTTGTAATCTAGATGTTCTAAATTTTGTAAACATTGGAGAATGAATCTTCAAGGGCATCAGAATTTGAAGTAAAAATGCCATGAAGGAATAGCTGCAGTTGCCACGTGTATGGCACTGAATTTGCCATGTTACTTGAACTTATTCTGCCATGCAATTTCTACTGAATCTGCCATACCATTTCTACTGAATCTGCCATGCCATTTCTACTGAATTTGCCATGTTAGTTGCACTGAATCTGCCATGTTAGTTGTATTGAAGATGCCATGTTAGTTGTACTGGATCTTCATCGCGTAGATTTCCATGTTCAGTCAGCGCATTTTAGTCACACATATTGTATTGTGGTGCAAACTATGGGAAACAAGCTGAAACGGTCTCGTGCAACAACCACACAGGTTACCGCTACGTGATCAAACTACCATGCTAGCCGGTACAGTTAGCAGTGCAAAAAACCAAAAAGTCAAACAAGAAAGAACGATAACTTTCACTAACCATGACTGATCAACTACATTTGCCATGTTTTCAGACATCAAGGACGCATTCAAAACACCATACTGGTACTACCAACCCACAAGTGCATAATAATACTGAAAACACATAAACGTATCTGCTATCACACCTAAGTAGGTTCACATCCACACATATATTACAAACTATTCAAATGTCACTCACATGCCACCACTGTATACTAGGCTACAGGGAGATGCAGTAATAGCATATTACATGGACATAGTTTTGAAAAAACAAGGTAATACCTTACTTTCCTCAACAACAGAATGTAAGGTAGGCATTCGGTATGGAGCACCACGTGATCACTTGTACTTCTTGGCGGCTTTCTTCATAGCTTCCTCTATGAACTCACGTGCGTTGGACCACATGTTGAAATCTTCATTTATCAACCAGTTCCATGTGTAAATTTTGCGGAGCTCGACGACCATTGCAGCTGTGACGACAGGAACCCGTCGACCTTCCCACTTTGCAAGGTATTCCAACATGTGGAAGCCGCAGTCGTGCCTAAACAAGAAAAGAGTCAGGTTAACTCACAAGAACGGAGATAAAAATCGTAAACTTCAATTCAGAGGTGACAAAAAATGGTAAGCATTGGTTTAGAGGACCCATGAAGAAAAGATGAGAAAATACCGGTTTCCTTGCTTCGTAGTCGCCACGTACTCAATTGGAAAATGTCTGATCTGGACCTTTGAGTGTTCATAGTGATGGGTCCATGTCTCTTTGAGGTTGTTGATGAAGTATTCAGCATGCATAGTAAGGTCTGCATTGGCTTCTGAACGCACTGAATCAAGCACCTCAAAACGTTGGTTCTTCAGGTCAAGGCAAATAGCGTAGTGGTGACCAAACTTGTCATGTGGGTCCTGTGGTGCAAGCTCCTGGAACATGGGGAACAAGACCTCCAAGCAAAAAATAAAGGAAAATAAGAAGCAGAGCTCACATTAAGAACATAAATGATGTAGTTGGGAAAATGACATGTAATGATATCACCGGTTACACTAACAGGCACATGAGTGACATAAAAGCATCAAGGATCCAGGAAAAGTAGACCAACGTATAATGTTTAGTTACAGTGGGTAATTAAAAAGAAGTTGCCATCCATGTATGAACAAAGTTGCCATGTATTTTAGTTTGAAGTTGCCACATGGGTGGTATTAATAAAGCAAATCAGAAGTCATATTACATGGAAGCTGTTGCCACATGAAACATCTACCACAAAAAAAGGTGAAGCCCACATCTGAAGCATAGCTACTGGCAAAAAAATAACATGGGAGGAAAAAAATGTGCAAAAAAGGCAGGAGTACTCACACATTTCTTCATTGTGAGCTTGAAATCACCATGCGTAGCAAAATGCTTCCTCAGGATTTTGTGGTGGAAGTCACCATCCCATATTTTGCACGTCAAAGTGTACTGCATGATTGTTTTGTCGGGAGACATATCCATATGTCTGTTGATGAAGTCAATACCACATGCAACTACATTCTTCGACATTTTATCGAGTGGCCTCACAGACTCGGCAAGATCACCCAGGTCAACGTACGTCGCATCACATTGTATGATCTTGGTTCTGTCCAAACATGAGCTATATGAAAATGATATAACATGAAAGAATCATGGCTACTAAGTAAAAAAACGTAAAATGGGGCATATCTACAAATAGCAAAAGGATGAATAGTAAAAAGAGCAAAGCAAATGAGAGGTTTATGTGGGTGTGGTCATTACGCTTTCAGCTCCTTCATGTGATTGTTGTTGGACCTCGCATTTCCAAAGCGCCTGACAATTTCATACAGCTGGTTCTGATCCTTTGTGGCCTTGACTTCTGGCTCATAATCATCTGTGGGTGGCGTGTGAACTACCCTACGCTGCCTCACAGAACCAGGGGTTGCACTTCTAATGGTATCCTCAGATACCGACTCAGCAGGCACGTTCGAACTTGATTGGCCCTGACCTCGTGATGACCTCCTCTGCAATGCTGCCTCCTCAATCATGCGGTAAGCTTCATCAAGTGACGGCATAATCTCCTCAGGGGTGGCTGCAAGGATCAAAAAAGTGGGTTAGCATACCTCCAAAACAAAATAAATTTAGTGTGAAAAGAAAGGTTGCAGAATGTGAAATGTAGGCACAGAAAGTAGGGAGTTGCCATGTGCAAGCAACTCCAGTTGCCATGTGCAATGCATTGTAGTTGCCATGTGAAAACAACTACAGTTGCCATGTTGTATGAACTCCAGTTGCCATGTGCTTGCAGAATGGAAAATGCAGCATGGCAACAGAAAATGTAGGTGACAGCGTGCAAGCAAATCCAGTTGCCATGTCCATCAGATAAAATTTGCCATCACAAAAGTGAGAACCAAAAAAATGCTTGGGACAAAAGTCAGACTAAAAAGATGTATGCACTAAAATCATAAACGTATAGGAAATGTACCTTGCACAACCGGCTCTGCGAACTTGACAACCTTTTTGCCCTCGACCATTGGCTACGCCATCATTGGGGCCATGCCTGCCGAGAAAGCAAAGGCAACTGGCATAGGATCTTGCACCACTGGTTGATCTTGACTGATGCCAAGGCTAAATCTAGGTAGGGACAATCAAGTTCGAACGTGCCTACTGGCCGGACCGCGAACAACTTGTTGGGCAGAATCCAAGGGTGAAAGATCAACAAACATTTCTACATCGGCCACTGCAGAATCATCGGGCTTATTCGTAGGGCGGGGCGTGCTATCAGCGGTATCAGTCACAGCTTTCTTGACAATCTTCTTGTTTGGGCTGTAGGGGACACCGATGTTGACTGGGAGCTTAGAAGTGCGCAGATTTAAGTTGGGGTTATCCACGGCGGGTAAAGACGTAGTCTGCTCCGCACGTTCACCTCCGTCAGTCGTGCCCGGCTTGCCACCTAGGTCGGTTGTACTCCGGTCTTCCGTTCTCTCCATAACATTGTTTCTGGCAGGTGGTGGGAACAGTGTGGACGCAGGAACATAACCAGAGTCATCTCTGCTGCTCCTAGCTACAGCCGGTGCATTGGGTATGTCTGCAGATTGCTTGCGGGGGCTACGACGCCTAGGTAGAAGACCAGCTCGCGTAACGGTCACCTTAGCAACCTCTGGAGCACCAGAAGCTGGAGCTGTTGTGCCAAGAGTCTCACCTGTTGATGGCATATCATTATGAACTGTCACGTCAGCCCCTTCTTTCATGGTGCAGAAGTGCCACCACCCACGCGCTTGGAATCCGTGTCAGATGAGCGGGAATCTTCCTTGCTTAGGTTGATCTCGGGGGCGTCCACTTCAACACTTGCTGGGTAGCATGGCTCACAACAGCATCCTTCATTGCCAGCAGAGTGGGCAATATTTTAGCAGTCCTGGCAGATACCGACTCGTCACTCCCACATGTACGGATGCCTGCTGTCGTAGTGTAGTGACCAGACCTCAAATGGTCCAATCTCTGTGCTCCGGTGTCATCCCTGGATCAGTAATGCTGACACCACACAGTACTTGGAGGATTTATAACAGAGTAGCAATCACACACCTATTACATTGAGTGTCTCAAAAGAGAACGTATTACAATAAATATGTCTTAAGGCCATCTAAATACGATAACAACGGAAGGCTTGCAAGATAAGTGAGTCCATCAACTCCAACGGCATCACTGAGTATAGAACCACGACCTAAAGACACCTTACTCATCGTATGAAAACTCTACAACATGAACGTTGCAGTCCGAAATGGGTAAGCACATGGAATATGCTGGCAATGTAACACATAGAGAGCAATGAAGGAAATAAGGCTATACATGCATATTTGGCTGGTGGAAAGCTCTATGGTTACAGTTTTGCGTAAAGCCAATTTTCCCTACTGCAAAGGAATACATTTTATTTAACTAACATGGTGGTTGTTAAACATTGAGAGTGTAGACACCCTCTCAATCCCAATTAAGCATCATCACTAAAAACCCAACAAAATTAATTAGAGTAACATGATGAGATTCACATGATAATCCAAGTACTAGATACTCAAAATGTCCATAACCGGGGACACGACTAACCATGGTTAGTTTATACACTCTGCAGAGGTTTGCGCACTTTTCCCCACAAGACTCGATCTCCTCCGTTGGGATTCTCGCACTACATGGTGTTTGAGAAACGGATGACCGAGACATAGTCTTTCAGAAGCGCTAGCACCTTACGATCGGGTAGACCGTTACACCTACTTTCCCCTACATTTGCTAGTCTACCACTGTAAGAGTTCGCACAACTTAGTCAACTACGCTAGAGCCCATAGTAGCTTGTGGCTGCGCACGGAAGTTTCTAGTATGAATAATCTCATGATCCCTTTGAGTCTGGGTGGCGGTCCAAAAGAAAAACAGGCAATCGCTGGAATACCCAGGTGCCTCAATCCACCCAGATGTGTATTTAAGTTGACACCTTAGATAAACCATTAATTTAACAAACTCACATCTGTCATGGATACACTCACCCAATCCACGTCTACTAGCATAACATGGCAATAAGCAAACGTAGAAGTAACTCCCAAATGTTTGATAATAACATGTAATAGGTACTACCTCATCTACTTCCCAAACCGACAATTTAATTAGATCCTAATCATGCAACGTGTGATAATTGATCTAATGCAATAAAACTGGGTAATAGGAGGTATGATCAAAGTGTTACTTGCCTTGCTGATGATCCGCAAAACCTAGCGATTCGAAGTAGCAAGCGTCGCACTCCGGGTACTCTATCGCAAAAAAACAAGCATACAATAAGTACTCAACTAATGCATAGGTAAAACTCAAATAAGAGATCTAACCAGAAAGTTCAACTTAAGAACTCCGGTTGGCAAAAAGAATCAAATCGAACAAAGCAATGAAAGACAAATGGCAAAAGAAACAAGCTTTGTTTACTAATTTGGATCTAGATCAAAATTTTATAGAGGCAAAAACTGGTTTGAGTTGGTTAAATGAAGAGAGGGTTTCGAGACGAAACTCCAGGCGCTTGAATCGCCTGATTCCGATAAACGAGCGAAAAGTTATACTAAAACGAAAATCGGATCAGGAATCACGATCAGAAAAATCATGGATTTAATCCGAGAAAAAGAAAATGACGAACAGATTAACGAACGAACGTTCGTTATCTGGATCTAAACGATGAACGCGTCCGTTAAGATGAACGAACGAGCGAACGCTCGCTAATTAACTAAACCGAGAAAAAAACAATCTATCTAAAAAACGAATCTAAAAAACCGAAAAAACCAGTGAAAACCAACGGTTTTCTAAAAAAACTGGCGGGCAGCGGCTGTTTGACCTCGTCGGCGGCGGTGGCGGCGGCTGCAGCGGGCGGCGCGACCTAGGGTTAGGGTTGGGGCGGCGGCTTGGGCTGCTCGGGCCCCCGGGGCGCGCTATATAAAGCCCCGGCCAAGGAGTCCTGGCTGGATACGGCCCGTAGGTCGGTTCGCGATTTTTTTTAAATAATTAGGCTCAGAAAAAAAACTAAAGGAATACTTAACCGACTCCAAAAATCTCGAAATGAATTTTCCCCGGCTTCTAAAATCAAGCCGCACAGGATGAACATTTATTTGGGGCCTAAATGCAATTTTGAAAAATGTGCATTTTTCCTAAATTCAAATAAAATAGCAAATAAAACCAAAATAAAATCTTATTTGATTTTATCATTTAAATCCCCAATATTTCTTTATTTTGGGAAAGTCATTTTATTCCCTCTCTCATATTTTGATAATAGAAATAATTGAAGATAAAATCAAATAAAATCAAATGATCCTACTTTCAAAATTTGAGAAAACTCAAATATGAAAATAACGAAATCCCCAACTCTCTCCGAGGGTCCTTGAGTTGCGTGAAATTTCTAGGATTAACCAAAATGCAATAAAATATGATATGC